AGAGAGGGGAGAGAGAGGGGAGAGAGAGAGGGGAGAGTGAGAGAGGGGAGAGTGAGAGAGGGGAGAGTGAGGAGAGGAGAGAGAGGAGGGAGAGGAAGGAGAGGACAGAGAGAGAGAGAGACAAAGTAAGAAAGAGACAGAGACACTGAGAGCTTTTCTTTTTCACAAGGATAGAGTACGGAAAAAAAAGGAAAAAACGGATAACGCTGGGTATTTTGTTAGTATATCGTAAAGATATTGATGTATGTACGGATTCATATGGGAATAAAAGCCAACAATTTGTTTGCTATTACTAGAAAGTCCACTCAATATTTCTAACAACTGGCAGCAGAGTGTGGTTTGATATCAAAACGGGCAATGGTCGAAGCAAGTAATGTGTCTTTTAGAAACGTTGAAATCCTAAACAACACGAATTACACATTATGGAGCATACGGATAAAAAACTGATAAAATTGGGTCATTTATATGTCGAAATAATTGAAGGAGAACCGAAGAATATTGCCGAAGAGAGGTAAGCGAAGAACGATGGAAAGAGTAGGAATTCAAAAACGACGAAGTGATGGGCCTGTTAATCATGACGTTCTCGAACGAGCAGCTTCTCGCTTGCCAGGGAATAACTAAAGCCAGAGATCTATTGAATACTTAGCAAAAGAGACACCAAGGGCAGGGGAAATATAAACGGACCACCCTGAAAGATAAACTAGCAAAATTAGAAAAGGGAGACAATGAATTTGTTGAAGATTACTTAGCACAGGATGCTGTATCATATTAACTATAATTATATAGCTATAATGAAGAACAAAGGATTATATCATCTACGGTATCCAGGACGAGCCGCGGCACTGACATGGTGGCTAAGGTTTCGGCCAGCGTATTGTGGCCTTCCTCAGAGCATACTGCAGCCAGATTGCTAGCGAGGTCGCCTTATTTGGTGGAGGAAGAACGCAGTCATAACGGGGGTGGAGCAAGTGGGGACCAAGGGATGGTAGCAATGGAGAAATTCTGAAGCGGTTTAATACAAAAAGGGGAAAATAGCAAGAACCAACAGCCAATCAGCGGCCGCTGATGGGGGCCCGTCATTGGTCGACCGTGCGGGGGTGGGGTTCCCTGGGACCCGCACCGGATTGGCGGGCCGTGTAAGACCGTTTCCATGTGGTGCTGAGACAACGACCATCATCTCTGTTTCAGCTGATGTGCCTCCTTGATATTTCTATGGCCTCTTTTAATGACGCGTGGCCACCAAAGGTCCTGAGAGAAAATCGAATGTGTCTTGATAGATTCGATAAGGTGACCGGTTGCGAAGGCGTGTTGTGCTAAGGCCGATTTATGGGTGTTCGTTAGCCGATCATTGCGCATGTGTTCATCTACAGAGCGACCCATTTGGCCAATGTATACTCACCCGCAACTACAAAGAATTAGTTCGCGGACTGGAGAACGCTGAGATTCGAGATGACACTTGTGATCAATGCTTACGCAGTTAAAGTAATTAAGGAAGTATACGAAAAATTCTCCATTCCAAGAAACAGATTGCAAACGTTT